AGTTGAGTTTTAGAGAGAGAAAATCAAGATCTAGGATTTTGGAGAGTTTTAGAGAGAGAGAGATGAAAAAGTAATGTAAAATGAGGCTGTTACGAACTAATATACACACAGTCCGCCCGAGCGCAAGAGTTGACGTTCGAACGTCAGACACAATAAGTTGTTCCACTCGAGCGCAAGAAGTGTCGCTCGAGCTCCAAGACACAATGAAAAAGACGCTCACTACTCAAGCGCAAGAAGTGACGCTCGAGCGTAGAAAACACACATCCAGTAGTTTTGCAGGCAATGGTCCAACGCTTGAGCTCAAGTGTAACGCTTTCAAAATAATACAAATAACCTAACTCATAAGAGAATTGAATATAACATAATTGGTACACTTTCACATAACAGAATTCGTATTACAAAAGGGATTACATGCATTACAAATTCATAAACGTTCATTCAGAATCTAAATCATGTAATGCAAATTAATAACAACAAATAAAATGCCCTACGGGCTTACATCTTTCCAAGACATATCTTGGTTACAATCAAAAGTGAGCTTCGTTCATTACATCTTAAGCCCTTGGCTTTACAAAAATATACAATTAAAACTAGAAGCCCTTGTTTCCAAAAGTGTCTCTGACGCCATTGCCTTGGTAGAGGCATGCCATCATTACCTAAAAATGTTATTCCCAAGTAGGGTGAGCCACAGCCTAGTAGAAACCATTTAACACAGTATATGAAATTTAGTAAAGCTATAAGTACACTATGCATGTACAACGTCAAAGATAAAGGCATCCACCTTTTGTAAAGTCTTAAATTACCAAACTCAATCATTAAGCCATTTCCCTTTATTTCATTTAATTACATAAGCCAATTTCATCGTTTCTCAACAACCCAAATGAGATTACAACTCATTAGTTCTAGAACCACATTATCAACATGTAAGCACTTCAAACTTTTCTTTCACAGATATTTCGTCCAGGGGTAATCATCAAACGGGACCCATGTATTCTTTCACGGATATTTCGTCTACAGGCAGCCGTCAAACAGAACACATGTAAACGTAGGCTATAGAAGTACTGCAATTGCCATTTTACGGATATTTCATCTGCGGGCTAGGCACCCATGTATAGTTTTGGGACTTTCACCCAAGACACTCCTGCCAACTTAATTATAATAGAGTCCATCCCCTTTCTCCTCCTAAATGATCATTCTTACTTATGCAATGTATATAAGTATAGTCATATTCAATGACAAGTGCAAGTGATTAGTTTCAATTCACCTAATCCGCATGCAATTTCTACAATAATCATAGTTATTCTCTATCAATAGCCCAATGCAGTTATTTCTAAACAGATATAAAATCTCATAACAAATAGTTTATTCAAAACTACCAAAGCATGGGGTAACACATAACCAATCCCACCATTCATATCAATACCCTTTCAATTTTACATTTTCAATGTCAATTGCCATTATTTATACAAAATAATAATTTGATTCAATTAGGGCAAATCTCCATTTTCCCCCAAATATTAACCAAGTGCCAAAATCATCAAATCATACACAATACAACATCATTTTCAAACCCTTCAAGCATTTATTTCACCTTCACCCAAAAACCCCTCTTTCCATTTATACCTAAACCCTAGGTTTGCCTTAAACACTCCCAAATCACATCATTGTTACACAAGATACAAATAACTAAGCTAAATATCATATGAAAGTGTAGAAAAGATCCCTACCTCACGCTTAGAAGAGAGAGAAGAGAGAAAAGCCCAAAAGTTGACGGCGACGAAACAACGACTTGCCCTTATCAAAACGAAGTCCTTGACAAGCTCTACACTTAATCTCAAAGGAGCAAGGTGAAAGGATCACTCTAGGTGAGTAGATCTATAGATTTAAGTGAAAAAGTTTGAGTTTTAGAGAAAGAGAAGAGAACTCACAGTTTGAAAGGAAAAAATAGGAGGAAAATAATGAGAGAGAAGTGGTTTGGGCCTATTTATAGTAGTAGAAAATAGCCCTAAGATCAAATAAAATAATAAGCCCAAAACCCCCTCAAAGGTAGGGCCTATTCGAACCCCAAAATTCTGGAAAAAAAAAAACCACGTAGGGGTCGACCCTTCATGCAGAGGTGTCGACCCTTCAGGTAGAAGAGACAATCTGGCAGCTAGCAAAGGGTCGACCCTTAGACAGGAAGGGTCGACACTAATTTCCAGCAACTAGCACATAGATTCTGCAATATACAAGGGTCGACCCTTCCCAAACTGGTGTCGACCCTTGTGGACAACAACAAGAGGCAGGTGTCGATACCACCAAGGCTGGTGTCGACCTTAAATTCCAGCAACATTTCCAGAAACTTCACCAACAGGTAAGGGTCGACCCTTAGGAAGGCTAGTGTCAACCCTAGAATAGAATTTCTAAGTTCCCAAACAATTTTTCAACGTAAACAAGCGTAAACGAACAATCCCAACGTGTTTAAATCGATTTGTACTCCTCCAAAACCAAGATACAACAACACCAAAGATTTCTAAAATAAAATAAAGTATTCAAATACATTTCCCAAAAACTTAGAAGGATATAGGTGCTACATCAAGAAAGGCCGCTTGAGCGTAGGAAACGCCACTCGAGCATAAAAAACACTCTCCCAGTAGTTTTGCAGACTTGCAAAGTATTGAGAGTTTGCAAGACCCACTTGAGCGCAAGAAGTGCCGCTCGAGCGGAGGACCAAAAATCTGGGCAACACAAGGTTTGAAAACCAAGCAACCTACCTGTTCCAAACACGCTCGACACGACCAAATAACCAACTCAAATAAGACTAAGGAAGAAAACGACAATGAACAACATTCAGAAACTATACGCATGAGCCTAGGATACAACAAGTGTCGAGTCAAAACCGGAATCGCTATATTTTTACTTTTTGACAAGGGCATATAGACGAATTTAGCTACCCTAAGAAGGAAGAGGAAGTAATAAAACAACATTAAGAAATGATAGGTTGAAATGAAATATTCGATGGCTCAACAAACAAACAAAAAAAAAACAAAATGCAATTTACCTCATTGTGTAAAACGTAGAGAAAAAAAATACTACTATATAAAACAAAAATGTAGTGTAATTTTAGATTCCAAAGTATAAATTCAATTTTTTTTTTTTTGAAAATTCTAAATTTACAAAATACAAAAAGACACATGTTATTTAATAATTCAATTATATATATATTTTAAGGTTGTAATTACTTATTTGATCATTATAGTAACGCATTTTAATTTTTCTATTATTGACCTTTCAAATCCCTTAATTAATGGATTTTTCAAAGTATTTATATGGAAATCAAATCACTTGAAAAAAATAATTAAGAATACATTTATTATTATTATTATTATTATTATGGCACAAGAACACTCTTTAAAATGTTCGCCTAAATTTTATTTCTTATTGCATTCTAAAGACTCTACAATAATTAGTGATTTGCATGGGACAATTCTTCCCTACCTAGAGTCAAATTCATTTGTTTTGCATCAAAGTTAGACACTCATTATATGTGATAATTTTATATCAAAGTGTATATATTAAATATAAAATAATATAATTTTTTTGGCACTACTATTTTTTTTTTTTTTTTTTTTTGTTTTTTTTTCAAATAAATATAACACACTATAATCATAACTAATGACATTGAGACAAACTAATTAAAGAAAGTTGTGATATATCATGTCATCGCTTTACCTTCAGTGCATGCAGCTTCCTATGGGACATAACTCTATATACAAATTGATTAGTTCAAGAATTTTCAGACCCATGATTGAATAAGAACGAATCAACCGACACTTTTTACGAATTTTATATATCTTTTACACACACATACTTATATTAATCATTGGTCAGTTGAGCGGTAATTAGTATTTTCCCTAACAAAATGTGATCTAACATTGTAGGCTTATGAATTGAGATATGAACATTATGATAAGATTATGACAATTGGAATAATGAACTAGGTGTGCATAAGCAAAATTGAAAGTCTAGAATACTTTTTAAAGGCTTTTTTTTTTTTTTTTTAATTTTAAAGACATTTGTTGAACACCTAATTCCTTTCTTGACGAATTTATGCTTAAACGACTTTTTTTAGGTTGAATTAATAAAATACAATACAATCATAGTAATAGCAACAACCACCACTATCATACTTGGGTAAGCATGCAATGCAAATCCAAGTAAGTAACCGTTTGAATAATTTGAGGATCACTTTGATTGAAGTAGTAAAAAGTGTAGTTCCATGGACATTCTAAAAATAGAGAAGAAAAAAAAAAAACTGCAGCCCAAGACCTACTCGCCATTAAGATTATTCATCAGCAGCTCAAGAAATTTGCAACAACTTTTAGATGAGGTGTGGCAATTGTTTTTTGTCATTTTTTAAATGTGATAAGTTTGGTAATTGTTAAAAAATTGTTTTAATTATAGAGAAAGTTTTGTGAGTCTTTTCAAATTCTCTTTTTTTGTGAGAAGTACCATATTAGTCTTATAGGGTGTGTTTGATTGGGGGGATAAGGGGGGGATTATTTATTGTGCGGATTGTAATCCGCACAGTAAATCCAATCCGATGTTTGTTTCACTACAGGAAAAAAGGGATATAGCGACGTTTTGTTTACGACGTTTATAAAAACGCCGCTATTTTTCAATTAAAACAACGTTTTAAAAACGCTGTATTAGATTTCTTTTAAACACAATCTCCGCGTGTTAATTGCCTAACGCCGTTACCCACATCCTAAAGCCCTAAAGTTGCGATTTCTCTCTCTCTCTCCCTCTCTCTCTATCGAGCTCGAATTCATTCTGAGCAAAATTGATTTGCGATTTGCGATTTGCGATTTGCGATTTGCGATTTTGCGATTTGGAGATTTGAATCTGAGCGATTAAAGTTCTTAATCTACTCCTTCAGATTTGTTCTCAGTCTACTCTCTCGCTCGATTTCAAACACGCTCTCTGTCTCGATTTCAGATCTGGCGATGATTTGAAGGCCACCACTTGGATTGCAGATTTTGAAGCTTGGTTCTCGATTTTGTGAGTTTCAATTTGTTTAGCTATTTTTTTTTTCTTCAAATGTTGACTCTATTTCCCATTTTCATTGTCTTGATGTAGCATATATGTGCCTCATTAAGAGAATTGAGATATATCTGGTATTGTTTAGACTACGATGATGGCATGAGGTGTTTGGATCTGATCCGGACCTGAATTGTGAACCCTGTACTCAACACCCTCAACTTAAATCTTTAGGTATAAAATTTGTTTTCTTTTGCTATCTATAAAGGTGTATACCTGCCATCTCAGAATAGTTCAATGTTAAACATTTTTATCCAATTTTCTCTGCATAAGGTCAAAACAACCAGATCATGAGTGGTTTCTGCTGTTTCTGATCAATTGATATATGTATATATATACATTGCTGCTATATATGTTTATTTGGATGCTTTAGAAGTGGCTGGTAGAAGTACTAAAATTTCATATCTCATGAGTTACATGATTTGATTTTTAGCTGAGGGAAAATTATACATGTAGTTTTTGTAGATTGTCTTTTGTTTTTTTTGTAGTTTTAATTGAATCAACTCTAAGTTGAATTTTTCACATTATGTCAATTTAGTTTAATCCATAATGCATGTTTAGAAATTGCAATGAAATGAAGCGGCAAAGTAATCCATTCACTCTACTTAAATGGTCCATTTCCTTTTGAGTGAGCTATTTTACCCTTAATTTCTGTTCAATTACTTAAAAAATATTATTAATTAGACTAAATTAACATAATGTAAAAAAGTAAAGGAAAAATTGAATAGAATTAGAACCTAAATTGACATGATAGACAAGTTACACAAACCACATTTATAATTTTTCCTTTAAATTAATTTAAAAAAAAAAATCAAATTGTATGATTATAATTGGTGAGACAGAGGGACATGTTCATTGTTAGGCCCTTCCAATTCTTTACTTTCTTATATAACACAAGCAACACTAATGTTAGCATTTCCAAAACACTTTTCCTGCTTTCAAATTCAAATGGTATTGCTGTTGTAAACTCCTAAAACCTAGGTAAGTGCTTTAAAAATGCTAGTTAAACTGTTGGATCTTCATTGAAACATGTAACTGCTAGCATCTCAATGACAATACTTTCTTACATGACACTAGGCACAGTTATGTCTGTTATCATTTCCAAAACACTTTTCTTGCTTTCAAATTCAATCATTGCATTGATATTAACTAATAAAAACTAGGAAAGTACTTTAAAAAAAGGAGCTACATAAGTCACTCAAAAATAGGCATTTTTGCTAAGTGCAGGTATTGGCAGGCAGCAGGGGAGAGGAAAGGAGAGAATCCAATGAAAACACCCATTCCCTACATTATCATATTCGGCATGCCACCCTACCAAATAGTATACATGAATCTCACTTGGCAGACATGCTTGCGAGCAGTCTGAGCATATGACATAAAGATGAGACAGTGGCAAAGTTCAGTTTTGAGATTCAAGGTGAATGTTTTTATCATAGGCCAATGCTGAGTTGACTGTTTTGTTGAGTGGCTGTGCTTTGGCAAGATGCCCTAAATATAACCTTATAAATATCAAGTTACCTTACAACTTTCAGTCGGCAAAGAGCACTTCCATTTTTGAGTAACAAAAGTGCACGATTAGCAGAGGCGACTTAACAAAATTCAAGGAGCAGGTACTGCTCATTGCTGTTTATTTGCATTCATATGTTACTGCAGCTGCCTGCTCATAACAAGTGAAGAGGTGAAATTTCACTTCTTTCAACTTTGAGGGATGCTTGTATCTGTGCCAGTGTTGACATAGTGAGGACAACATTCGTCTTTTAACTGAGGAAATCCACATTGGCAATCAGTAAGGTCATGGTCTCTTTGTTTCTCAGCTTTACCATTTCTCTCGATTTTGTATTTTTAATGATCCTTCCACTGCTTCAGTGGTACTAGAAGAGAAGGTTCCCCTGATTTTCCATCTCTTGACGGTTAGGTAATAGTAATCTTCTCATAACAGGCCCTTACAAGTGGCTTTTAGGAAGATCAATACTTACTCTGACTCCTAGCACATATAATGTTGCAAAGGTTTTTCTAATAGGTCAGAGATACTAGCAATTTTTAGAAGCCCCTCTTGCGCACTTACAGCTATGCCATAAAGAAGAAAGATGAGACCAACTGCAGATTTATTTGAATCATTGCTGGCTTTGGTGGTTGACATGCCTTCCTCACTTTAGATGGTATGAACAATAGGTAATGGCCTTTTTCTTTTCTTTATTTTTTCTTTACTTATTTATTTATTTTTCTTTTTTCCCTTGTGTATGTATAAATTGTTGAAATTTATAGTTATAAACCCTTGTATTGAAGTAATTTTTGTATGTGGATAAAGTATATGCTATGTGGTACCTTCTACTATTGTGATTGGCTTTAACAATAGGGTCCACTACATTTATGTTTGGTGTTTGGGAAACAATATGGGGCATTGAAATTGAGTTCTATGATTTCACATGGGATATACTTTATTGTGGCATTTTCGCACAAGTATGCTACTCGGTTTGTCAATTTTTTAAATTAATTTTTTTAGGACACCTTTGTAGTTTTCTTTTATTAATAATTTTAGAAAGCTGATTTGGGGTCAAACAAAGAAAAGAAAAATATAAAAATTAAAAATTAAAAATACACCCACATTGCATATCCTACATTTATATTCTTTTACATGGTAAATAATAAAATAAAATAAAAAATTGTCGTATCCCTACCATGTCCATATCTGTACGTATCCGTACTTCTTAGCTTCAAAATAATTCTAGCCAGTTGTGTGTTGTAACCTAACTGGTCACATGTTGCATTGCTTTGGTCAACCTCGCCCCTATAATGGCTCTCCTGGGGCTTGAAAGTAATTGTACCTGGCATTTAGCTGCCTTATGCGCTGAATAGATCCACTGTATGTGCATCCCAATTGTAAGCTACTACATGATTGGTTATTTTGGCTTATGACCACAGATTGTGATCCATCAATTAAACTGCAGTTTTTTTTTTTTTTTTTTGCATTGGGTTGATTTTGTGGATAGAAAAAACTGTCAACCCAGACTCAGTAAACTGGCCAAATAGATGGTCTTACTAGCTTCTAAATTCATCTGAACTTGATGTTGTATTGCAAAAGACACATGGTTATGCCTCTTCTTTTTGAATATATTTATTTATTTATTTTTGTTTTCTGCTTGACATAACTACTTGGCTTTACTTCTGCTTAGTTTGATGGGAATTTTGTCTTCCATTTCTTTCCTTTTTGGGTATTTTAGAAGAAAAGTTATAACATGTGAGATCTGAATGTGCAGATCTTGCAATGCACTTGCTAACCTCTTTAGTTGCTTTAGCGGCAGGCCTGAGACATGCATCCTCAAGCACAAGGGGGGGTCGTGGGGGTTGCTTCCAAAAGGGGGTCTTAAGTCTTTTTTGAATTGAAAAATACAATTTTCTTCCCTCCCCCCAAAAAAAGCATAGTAAGTTAAAAATCCAATCACAAATTAAACTAATTAATAGTTAAAAAGCACAACATTTTAAAAAAAAAAGAATACAGTGAGTACGTTATGTGAATCTAATAAACAATTACAATTATAAAATACAATCCAATCATCATCAATCAAATAGAGTGTAAAAAAACAATCACCGTATTGAAAATCAATGAAGTCAATTGGTAATTAAAAAATAAAATTATAATTTTTTTTAAAAAACATACAAATTAAAGTTAATTGATAGCTAAAAAGCACAACCATTTTTAAAAAAAAAAAATATAATGAGTCATAACTAAATCTAATTTAAGATATAACCAAACATTGTTTTTTTGTCATAATTAAATTAATAACCACAATAGCTGATAACCAATATTGAGTTATAACTAAATCATAACCAATATTGAGTTTAACCCGCAAGGGTAGCCTAGTTGGTTGAGGGCAAGGGACCAGGGACCTAGGAGTTTGCTCCTCTCTAGGTCTTAGGTTCGAATCCCACCCCCAGCTGGCTACTAGCGGGCCACTGCGTCTTTGCCCGGTCGATCGGCTCAGGGCCCCGAGATTAGTCGAGGTGCGTCACTCCGAAGGGGTGCTGGCCCAGATACTCGGTTATCAAAAAAAAAATCATAATCAATACTAAAATAAGTCATAACCAATAACCTGATCAAATTGTACTTCATGTTCTTTCATCAATATTAATTCTATTTTGCCCAAAAAAGTATAAATAAATAAAGTTACAACCAAACATCACTTAAGGCATAACAATCACAATAAATCATAACTAACACTCTATTGAGCCCAAATAAAGTCATAACAAAGACCCCCACACACACAATATATATATATATATATTGAGCAACAAAGAAAATTTTATTTATCATAATTAAAAATCACAAAAATTATAAGTGAACGTATGATACATGTCTTTTTTAAGGTGTGTATCATATAATTTTGTTACTTAAAATTATTTTGAATTTTTTTTCTATATAATTTATTATTTTGTAAATTTATATTTTAAATATATAATTTAAAATGGTATTTTCGACTCCAATTACTTTATTAAAAAAGCCATAATCATGTTTTGAAAATATATTTCAGATATAAGTTAAAAATTATTTAAATATAAAATATAAATTTTAAAAGAGCATAAGTTTGATAATAAAAAATAGGTAAATTACAAATACACCTCCTGAGATTTGCTTAAAATACAGATTGTTCTCTGTGATTTGGAAAATTACAAATATTCCCTATTAGAATTTTTTATTTAACAAAATTAACTAAAAAAAATGAAATTCATAATTATTCTCCTATACAATAACAAAATGACCTAAATTATTAATTGAAACATATTTCTAATATCATTAAAAATGATTAATTAACTTGATGATTTATTAATAAAAATGACAATTTGTTATGAAATTAAAAACCACACGCGGTAGAATGTAATTTTTAAAATCATAAAAAATTATTTATATTTTAATCAAATCTCAACAAATTTATTTATAATTGACAAAAGAGGGTTTGTGGTCGAATCATAATGAAAGAAGTGCAGGCAGGAAATTAAAGGAAAAATTATTAATGATGTTACGCGACGATATTACTTTTTACAAATTATAATTTATTATATTCCTCATATTCCCCAATTATTGAAAGCAAATTTATTCCCTCTATCAAATTTAAAGAGGGAATACACAATAACTTCTCGAATTAAAGAGGGTGGGCCTACATGATGATGCCGAGAAAAAGAGAGTGGGAATACACAAGCACGATAGCTGCATCCACACTGAGTCACTAACCAAACAAGCAAAACTCGAAAAAACTATTAAAAAAAAAATTCAAAGTCGAAGTCAAATCAACTAACTCTTATTAAAACATTATTATTTAAATTTAAAAATTAGAGGTATTTCTTAAATTTAATAATATGACAATTAATTAGAATATTTAAAGTAATATTTTTTATATTTTCTATAATTATCAATCAATCATGTCACTTATACATCATTAAATCTAAAAAGTGAGTTAAAAAAAATAGACGGTATATATAGTAACCTTATTATTATTTTTAAAAACAAATTTATTTAAAATTTTAATTAAAAAAATAATATAAATTTTTATTGATATTTTATTTATTTATTTATTAATTTATTTTAAAAAATAAATTTATTTAATTGTGTAAAAAATAAAATAAAATAAATTTTATTTAATCTAGCTAAAAATAATTAAAATATTAAAGATATGTTTAATATTGCTATTACTTAGTAAACAATTGAAAATGGTAAAATAATCTTTTGTTCATTTATCCTATCCAATCCGTCTAACCAAACGTTGGATTCACTAAAAATAGTCCTTTCCAGACATCTAATCCCATGAAAAAACAAACACAGGATACATATCCAATCCAACCAAATAATCCGGGGGATTCACAGTCCCAGGACTCAAGTTCGATGGATTCTAATCCCACCTATTGTGTTTGTTGAGCCTTTATTAACATAATCAAAGGGACATGGTGGAAATTTTCAAAGTATGGAGAGTAAAATCGTCTTTTAACAATTTTGTTGACATTCCGAAAAAAAAAAATTATGGAGAAGGTTTTTTAGTCAAACCATAAAGACTTTTTACTCTTTTTAACTTTTTTAAAAAAAAAAAAAAAAAAAAAAAAACTGTTTATTTAGAGATTACCAAGATATTTGATTTTTAATTTCAAGACAATTTATGAAAGAAAGAGGAGTGAAAAAAAAGAAGAAGAAAAAAACCCTTGTGTTCCATACACTTTTCTTTCATAAATCTAAAGTGCAAACATTTATTAATTCCTAACCAAAAGCTTAATGAAAAATTGTAGTGTAGTGACATGCTACAATAAATCTTTAAAATTTAAAATGAGACAGTAAAATCGAAGAGCATATAGAAGCCACATTAATTTGAAAGAAGAAATTTTAAATTTTATTTGATTGTATAATACTATTCTATTAGATGTACTACAAAATAGTAATCATATATCAATATGTACACCTATTATTAACATCAAATTTAATTATAATGATGGACTTTATCATGATCGAACTACTGTAAAGGTTGAAAACCTTCAATATGCTTTTAATGCAGTTGTTTTAAAACACAATAATACACGTTTGTAGTTAATCAAATGCAAAACAGACATGATTTTACAAGCCTTCAGTGGACAATAAAAAAAGGACAATAATATTTACAAATAAAAAGGACTAAAATATTTAATGAGTGCAAATTAATAATTTTTTTAAATATCATTTCTTCTTAAGTCTCCTATTAAATTCTAAAACTTCCTTATTAAACGCTATGCAATAGTTTAAGCCATTTCATTACTAATACAAATAGTTTAAATAATTGTAAAAATAATTTTTTAATAAAAAACTTACTATAAAAATTACCATTGCACAACTACTTCTCCTTCTTCTTTGTTTGTTTGCTTGTTTGTTTGTTTTTACCTCTAATTTTATGTCAAGCCAACTGAATTGTTCATTTTACAATATTCAAACTCATTTTTTTAGACATATTTTGTAATTTAAAAAATCATGTGAAAACATTTAGGGATAAATCTTGAGTTTTCAATTGTGTCAATTTAAATTATAATTTTTTGATTTATTTTTAATTTAAACCATTTGTCTATTTTCGTTAAGTAAAAGCGGCGGAAAAATAGTATTTTAATCATTAAACTCAATGTTGGTATACATAAAATGTTTAAAATACTTTATTAAGTTTACTTAATAAAAATAGACAAATGATTTAAATTGAAAACAAATCAAAATTTTAAAACTTAAATTGACAAATTAAAAATTCAAGATTTATTTTATTATAAGACTTAAACTTTGAATTTTTATTTTTATTTTTATAATTGTCCCAAAAATTAAAGTGGAGTGATTACTGTTACACTCTCTTTCTCGACTTTTAAGTCACTTCATGGATTGATGAGTGAGACGAGTTAAAAACTTTACGTAGGACTAGGTGGGTTCTTCATGAGGAATCTAACAAATATATTAATAAGTAACGCCCCCAAATTATTACAATAAATCTAATCTTTAAAACAGAATATTAATAGAAATAATATACTTTTCATTCATCAGAGTTCGTATTACAAAAGATAACACATGCAGTATACATTCATTAATGTTCGTTCTGAATTTATAGCATGCACTACCAGTTAATAATCAACAAAAATGAATGCCTTACGGGCTTACACGTTTCCAAGACATTGCTTGGTTATAACAAAATGATGAGTCTAACTCAATACAACGTAACCCTTGGCTATACAAAATAAATAAAACAAAATGAAGCTCTTGCTCCAAGTCTCCCCAAACTACTGTCTCGGCGGAGGCATGTCTTCAACACTTGAAAATGGTTCCCAAGTAGGGAGAGCCAAAACCCAGTAGAAACATACTAACACAATATATAAGAATTAACATGATATAAGTATAATGCACATGTTCATTGTCCTATGACAAAATCTGTGTAACACTTTCCACAACCATGTTATGCGTAACTTGCATCTCAATTCATTCATTTTGGCTCAATAGACACACCTGTGGCTCGACTTTTCGCGTCTCCTTTTGGAAGTTTGAAAGAAGCCCTACAGTTCAGACTCCCACAGTTCTGAATCTAATCTCACAAGTGCAATGTGAAATTGATAAACTCCAAAGAGTCCAAATTTGGCAAATCTTTTGGAAATTTGATTTTGAATCAAAAATGCCAAAATTGGACTGTTTTTCCATATACAGAGTCGCTACCTAAATATTTTATTTTTTGGGGAAAATTTAGGAAATCCATGACTCGTGCCAAAGGCCACGTGTCCATCATCACCAAAATTGTCTTGACTCGAGAACTTAGGTACGAGAGAGGAAGGTCATGAATTGAGCACCCCCGCTCGCCT